GCAATATCGATCGCCGGGCGGTCACATCTTGCCACGCGCTCGAATTGGGCGGTAGGCCGGCCTAAGATAACGATTTTTAATAATTAATTACTCGTTAACTATTACGAAAATTGCAAAATGGTATAGGACTTTTCCGTTCATCTCGATCCGTTCTACCTTCTCAAAAATTTTGTCGGATATGGAAAGACTCACCCTGTATATCGTACATGTACGCACCGGTCCGGTTGAACGCATAAGAATATGCACTTCTCTAAAGTGAGTAATACAAATCTTTAACAACGACTCGCGTGAGATGACGTCTTCCAGTACATTATCGATGTTTAGGAAAGATTTCATCACAGATCGTGCCAACCGATTATTTACCGGAGGCTGTTGTCGCGAGATTTCGAGTGCTCTTCGACAAGCTCTATCGCGTCTATATTTTTTTTTTCCTTTCAATTACCTACATAAAATCTAAGTAAATTCGTGGCGGTGACAGAAAGTCAGAGAGACAGAAGAAGGGGCGGAGAGGCGAGCTTGATAGCTGTGATCGCTTTCCGATGTGTTCGACACTGTCGTCGTCAAGGCTCGTTTGCAAGCTACGTCTCGCATATCTCTCTCCGCTTCGGAAAATATTAGCGCGCGTTTGATTGTGTTCACTGGAAAGACTTAATTATGTCGACGATGCTGACGTAGGTCCCCACCACGAGACCCAGCAGGCCGAACAAGATCAGAAGGATGTTCTTGATTAGTGTGACTTTGAGGGGACCGAAATCGTTCTCCGGCCACAGCACGCATATCTCAATAATTGCCGGGAAAGCGATACCGAGGGCGGATAGGCAGAGCGCGCCGAAGAGGGAAATAAATAGGCCGAGTCTCGGTATAGCGATCGCCAGGACGACTGAAAATGATAAAAATCCCGATGATTATTATCCCGAGGACCCTCAAACGGCCTGACGATCATTATTTTGAGGATTTTCAAATGGCCGACTATAATTCACGCATCTCTTCCAGTTTTATATGGATTTCAAGCACTCAAACATCGCGTAAGTGCTTGTTGGCATTTTTTTTGTTAATTGATTCGCGTAATATTATTTAACGACTCTTAATGCAATAATAGTGATGAATTTAGTAATTTTGTTATTAATTAATTAGCCAATTAATTAAAATTTAATAATAACAATACTTACACGTGACTAGGGTAACGACGGTTCGGCAAACGTATTCCCACAAGAGTTTGCGGTTTTGTATTCGATGATCTAAGTAGGTGGTCCACAAAATTTCCACGGGCACGTAGGCTTGTAGAGCGTATGTTATAAATATGGCGATCGCGAACATTATTTTAATACTTTGAGCCATACTGCAATAAAAAGGATTTTGGGTCACTCGAAGGTTCATTCGCATGACAATTGGTGCTTTAACAGAATCAAGACAGTGACGTGCAAAATTATAATTTGGAGGTCAATAACTTTTTCACTTGTCCTCACTAGGTTTTGCAATTGTCTCATTCTACTTACACTTCCTCTTGTGGCAGATTAAAGGTGACGCTTCCTTCGGCGTCGGGCCCATATTTTATGTAACCGAAGAAACCCATAACTATATACAAGATGACAATCACAATCATTCCTATATTTAATACACCACAGTAGCCACCGAAACCTTGCGGCGTCTTCATGTTGTTCTCCAATGCTATAATCTGCGTAATACATCACAAAAATGTTTTCTCTTACGAATATCGTTAATAGTACAATACAGTCGGAATTTTGGCTCTAGTCATTTCTTATAGAAGGTACTCTCAAGATTTTAAGACGCGAGATTTCAATTTTGTCTTTTAATCGTGCATTTAATATTCTCCTTTAAATATTAAACAGGAAATTACGGAGTGAACAGATTCAACAGTTGTAATAAACAATCGAGCTCTAAAACCGTCTTGAAAAATAACGATTACGAGCGATCACGTTTACCTTACGGATACATAAAAAGCTCTCTTTCCGAGACGAGGGAGATTGCTACTGCAAGTTGGGCGTAATTCTAAAAGGAGTAGAGGAAAGCCCCCTATTATGAGATAAGCTCCTAATTTAAGGGGATGCTGGAGTGATTCTGCACTTTCGCACCTTTTGCACTTAAAACTGTCTGTTTCGTGGAAAGATTTGTGTAATACACAAATTAAATGGCACGTGTACAGACGATCGAAAGCAGCTTGCTATTCCGGCTAAATTAAAGAACAATGTGGCATCACTGAAACTAAGTTTGTAAGTCTAATAAGAAATAATAGTGAGCAACACACCATACAGTACATGTAGTATGTGTGTTGCTCACTATTATTTCTTATTAGACTTACGAACTTAGTTTCAGTGATGCCATATTGTTCTTTCATTTGGCCGGAATAGCGAGCTGCTTTCGATCTGTACACGTAAGCCATTTAATTTGTATATTACACAAGTGTTTCCGCGAACTGACAGTTTTTAGGTTAGAAAGGTGCAAAAGTGCAGAATCACTCCAGCATCCCCTTAACAGGCTTCATCTATTGGTGTCATCGTTTAATTTATTGCCCTTGGAGTGAAATCTGTTTAATGGAAAATTCATAGTTTTGGGTGTTGAAAATCTGCTATTAGAAACGTATCTCATAACAGGGGACTTTCCTCTATATCTTTTCCAGACTTACCACGCCGACGGCTTCCAGCGCGAATAACGTTGTTCCAAAGTAGAGGGAAAAATTTCTTAATGTGCCAACCATCTCTCTGCTGCTCACCGGCGGTAGGTCTTCGAACATGTACTTCAGTGTCATGCCGAGTCCGACGAACGTAATAAGGTTTGCTATCGTGGAGAACGGCGCCAGTAGCTTCAGATTTCTAATGTAGTTTATCAAAATCAGCGGAATCAACAATATGAACATGTGGGTCGAGATAGCCAAAGGTTCCCAGTACTGGTCTGTCACCTGCGTTCGTTAACAAAAATTACAGTGAGTACGCGGCGTTCACGTCCATCAGATGTGGCTCTGATGGCTCAGGTTTGTGCTGAATTGTCCGTTGTCGAGCAGCGTGGTGCTTTCTCGATAGCGTGTGCATTATAGAAACGATCGATTACTCTTGATATACACTTTTTTTGTTCGATTGCCGTGATATGGATTTACCTGTTTAACATTGGTTGCTACAAACACGATATAAACGCAGCAAATTCCCAATTGATATACTATCATAAACCCGTCTACAAGTCCTCTGAAAATAATAGCGTTTTTAGATCCAATTGCGTATTCGCGCATCGTGTCTTTGCAACACGTAAGACTGGATAAAATAATTGTACTCTCATCTCGTGTGTAGCAATTAATATCTTTTTTAGCTTCTATACGAACGCAGCGGCAAAACGAATGCTCGTGTTCAATACTTTTTTGTAAAATACATTTATAACGAATGTCTTATACCTGTTTGTACACTTGTTTGTACTATTCTCCGTTATCTTATAATCATCGGTACATCGAAAGTAAGTCACGGGTGAATAAACTGAATCGTTCGCGTGGTTAAATAACTTTTAGTTACAATATTTTCCAAGATTCTAGAGTTGCATATAACTGGTAATTAAATATTTATTTTTCGTTATCATAGACTGACAATTGTACGTATTTGCTTTTGAACAAAATAGATATTTACCATATTTATGTATCTGTTCATGTTAAAAGGAGCATTATAAATGTTTCCTACGTGCGTATGAGAAACATAATGTCAACCCTAATCATTTCTTATTCCTTATCAAAGAATTGTTAGAATAGCATACGAATGCAACAGGTGTACAACAATTCTGCTTTTATTCTACTAATGAGCATCGATATATCATGTCACCTAGACAAAAGTGAAAGGTACTTACGGTGCATAGGGCGAGAACCAGCTTACGCATCGTGGACCTTTTTCCAGGGCATATTTCATGCTGTCCGGATAGCTTAATATAGGAACTCTTAACCGCTTACACAATTTGTACTGCGCCTTTACGAGTATGTGTAGACAGTACGTGCACAATGCGCCTATGATAATTGTAGCTATGACACCGACCAGGAGGCCGCTGTTGTAAAACGCATTCGGCATTGCTAAAATTCCCGTGCCCAAACTGCCCTTCAGCAAGTGAACCAGGGTTTCGAAATTTCTGAAAGAAAAAAAACGTATCGTCAGATTAGCCATAAACAGAACATTTCCTAGAGAAACGGCACGCGATCATTCGTCCTCTCAAAAGTATTTACACTTGAAACTGAACTTTCTCTCAGCCACACTTCGAAGAACGCGCGAAATTAATGGCATGAACAATTAATAATAAATTAATATTTTAAAAACCATTTTCAAATCATTAAGACCTGACTATAGAAGATTTCTCAGAAAAATATCGCGTAATCGTCCGATTATTCGTCTTCTTCTAAATATTTGTAGGTTCGAAGCTGATCTTTAGAATAATATTTATTGAATAAAATAATTGTTTTTGTTAAATAAGAAATTCAATTTTCTTCGCTGTGAAAATTATATCTTAGTAAATATTTTATACAATTAAATAAAAATTCTTTAAATTTAAAATCATCTATATTCCTTGATATTTAATAAATACTTAAGTTAAAGCAATACATGTTTTAATTTGTTCATTATTTTATAAATTTAAGCTAGTAAGCTATTAGGAGCCACCTAATGCGTAATTTTCTTGAGTGAAGCAATATGTTTTTTGATTAAGATATTTTTTTTATCAGTGTACCATCTCACATTATAAAATCCCATCTCTTAACAGAGGGCTTTTCTCTATTCTAATGTTATATCTCAAATTCTGATAAATGTGTCGTGCGGGATGCAGCGTGACAAAAAAAATGTGGATTCGAGGAACAATAGCAGTATATTATCTTCTATGCGACATAGTCTCTTTCAATGTAATCGCTGAATCGTTACTTACGAAGTTGGATTTGGTCTATTCCGATGCTTATGGGGGTCATAATCATCCCCCCCATCTTCGCTCGAATGCAGCATCTTTTCAGTTTTCTCCACATCATCAGCATTATTTACACCGGCAGCAGTGACTTCGTGGTTCTCCCTGCGTAGATTTTCAAACAACATCGTGAGAGAAATGATTGGCGAAGAGTTAAAATATTTTTTAATTAATGTGTCTTATTATGTGTCTACGTATCTATTGTATATTCATGCAGGAATAATTTTAAGTTCCAATTTATTCATGCGCACGTGTATATAACTGATATTATTTAGACGTACTTGCGAGGACTGTAGGAGTCCATCGGTTGCATCTGTAAACATTCTTTCTCCGAGTTTTCCATAGCCGCACAATTTCTTCTGATTCCCTCGTGTCGCTAAAACTTGTTCACATATTTCATATATTTATATAATTATGTGCAATCGGGCGAGACTGTACAAATAAGTAATCGTTAACTTTGCTCTTATTATCCCAGTAGTAAAAAGCAGAAGTGATGCAATTTCAAATATGAAGCAAATTATTACAACTATTTTGTATGACGCGAGACGTTTCTTTGATTCATTCTTCTGGAATCAATAAGGTAATTGTCGATTACATTATTTGAGCGTGTGTGTTGGACGCTATTGCTTTGAAGGGAATTTATAGAAATGTGTATAAAAATTGCCATTGAGGCCTGGTTTACTTGACGCGTATACGAAACACAAAGTCACGCAAAAATGTGACAATCGAGCTATACCGTCGGGGCGGTCCAGTACGTTAAACCTCTAATCAATTGGCACAAATGTGGAGCAATGCAATAAAGGAAACGCTGGTGTCAGTTCACCATTGCGAATCCGTCGTACGCGCACATTCTTCACGAACTGATTGTTCTTAATTATTGCATTGAGGTCAAATGCAGCTTGAGGTTAACTTGCTGAAGGTTGCACTCGAGTATCCTCGCACTTCGCTATTTACGCCTTTGACTGTTTTGCATCGTTGAACCGAACGATTGATCTCAAATACGCGCGAGGACAAAGTCTATTCTCGTAAAATGCAAATTCGCCGTTTAGCGGCGCACGGTGGTGCGCCACCTCGCCGCGTTTAAAAATAGATAAGCGCGTCTCAAATTATCGCAGAAATTATTATCGAGTAATTGTTCAATACACAAAGTCGCTCGGCAATCAATTAGCTCGCTGCGTTACGCAAGTGTGGCCCTGTATTACCGGCGTCCCGACACATGCGAATGACTTAATAACATAATAACATAGACGTCTAATTTGATACGAGGGAAACGTTTTCCCTTCTAAGGTCATGGTCGCGACAGAAATATCCGGAAAGAAGGAAACTATTATCCAATTTCGCAGAGATTGCATCAAAGGCGTATCTGTTCGCGTTAAGGCTGCGTGGCTAAATCTTGTACCTACAACGCTACTCGAACGTTTCTTATCTGAACCGAATTTAAATGGAAACAACTCGCTGAGGTACTTCATCAATAACGTGCGTCGTCAATGCGTTCAAATTTCGACCGAAGTTTCCAAATTTGACATTCGTTCTTCGATAAATTAAACGTCTCACGTTCGATTTTGTTTTTACTGTTATCTTCCGCTTCGAAAATTGCAAATTTTCTTACAGATTCTGTGAAACCGCAGGGGTGTCTCACCTGTTACAGTCCCGATCAATTTTCAGCAAGCGCTGGCATAGATTACAATTGTCTCCGTTTGCAGTTTTGTTAGCCTGCAATGAACAAACAAAGAAAATGTCTCAGATACAATTCAATTATGTCAGAACATTAATTCTAGCTATAACCGTTTCAGTGCTTGTGAGAAGCAGTTTTATCCTTTGCAATGCGAACACGTGAGCATTGCACGTGCACGCGAGCTTTTGAAACTAATAATAACAACTTTATTGAGGCGCAGGGGAAATGTTATATAGAGAGAAAACAGATTTAGCAGAGAACAGCGCATCTCGCGAATAAGGCATTAGCAGTGTAAATCTAGATCCGTGATCTAAAACAATTACTAAAAATAAAAATGAGCGCAATAATGATAATTTAATAGTGATAACAACTCGAGAGACAATGAGACGGCAATAAACGGTAATATGTGACGAAAACGAAAGGCACCTCTAAAGTGCGCTTACGCGTTATTCGATTTGTTAACACAGAAGAATACTCGCCTAAGAGTATGTACATCGAATATACGTGGGTTAGCCGTTTAAGTATTACAATCAATCCTCCTAATTCTTACTTCCTCAGCGCGCATGGGGGGACCCAGCGAGCTGTGTTAGCCTCGTGCTTGGGACAATATGACTGGAATATACCCTGTCGAACTACTAATTTTAGGCTGTCGGAAGAGAATACTCTCTGCCAGAACTATCTTGACGAGTGTCATGCTATTTCGGAAGCATGAGAAATGAGGCCGCGAACATAAACGAGTCTCGCGGCGGTGTAAATGGGAAAGGGGATTCGCTTCGCGCATTTTTTGTGCCACGCCGATGGGAAATATCTTCGGATCGTTCGTCGCGTACCGATCGGTCGCTCACGTATCGATTAAGTAATATAAATCGATTGTCAAGGTCAGCGATGGACACAACGCGGTAATTAATGTGAAAGAAATCATGCGATTAATGCAAATAGCGCGGCACTGTTATTAAGGTCCGGTTTCACCAGCGTCGCTTTACTTTAAGCTTAGCTTAATTCATTCGTTGTCTCCTTCCAGCTGTTACTTTAGAAGGAGACAAGCGTGAATTAAACTAAGATTAAAGTTAAGCGACGTTCGGTGAAACCGAGCCCAAGTACCTTAGAAAGCTTACTTTCGACGAGTACGAGAAGTAAATGGGAAGGAGACATTGAAGTATCCTGATTTGAGAAATAAATGTTGACGCGAAGATGTGTAGAGTTTATTGTAATATAATGAACTCAGTTTAGAATGATGCGTATTGCGATATGGTTAAACTGTATCGAGAACTCAAGCAGTCAGTACTCTTCCATCCGTTTAATCATTCAATCTGTTGAATTCTGTATCGCTGACGCGCACCATTAAATTTGCCCGATGAAAATTGTATAAGAAAAGTCGACGAATGTACCAGTTTGATGGCGAGACTAATTATTAATGCGATCGATCAATTAAATATTCCCTAGCTCGTTATTTTTCAATTTATAAACAATATCCTTCTCTCTTTCTCTCTCTCTCTCTCTCTCTCTTGGCGGGATTAAAAGAAATCGTAGCAATTAAAATTGAAATATTATACAAGACGTTACGTCACGATATTTCACGTATACGAGAATCGAAATAGGACGTCTATTACCACCGATGTGTTTTCTATCGCTGCACTATACTTTTTAAAAGTATACTGCAGTATACTTTTTTTCATTCTAGCCTACTGCACTAGTTCACTAGTGCAATATTAGAAAACAAGCCTATATGATTTTAGGGACTAACGTTTGCGAAATTGTTTTAGAACAAAGTACGATCTGCAAATTGTTTCCTTCGAAATAAGAAATGCGCGAAATGCATGACGTAAATGCAATGTAATCGCTAAATGGTGACAAAGTGTTTTTGCACAATTAGAAAACCTGCCACTGCCATTTGCCGACTTAACGGATCGCTAATGCAACGTGATATCAATTGAATCGGATAAATGGTTCAACTATTGCGTAACAGTTCTTTCATCGAGCTTAATAGCGATCATTTCGTTGCTTATAGTGTAAGTAGGGGGTTCTATTCATTAGAACTTTAGAATAAATGTGTTCTGACTCGGTGACAGGTGCGGCAATCTTAAAGGATGGGAATCGGCCTTGCTGTTATTGCTGAATTGAATTTAATTGAATTTACGGCAGCACGATGTGGTAAATCAGTAAATTAACATTCATTCATTTTCACAAAACTGCCACACAACAATTAACAATTGCTCATAGAAGAAGACAAATAAATTTCACAAATCCGGAAGTTAAATTTAATTTCTGCAGGTTACTTCCCTTGGAATATAATCACTTTCTTAACGAGAAATAGATTTCCAAGAGAAATCGATATATTATTATTTCTTGTTCGCAGTTTTTCAGTGTACTTTAAATCTGCTTCGTGATTTCACGTTAAACTTTATAAATATTTTCTCTAAACTGATGTAAAAAGAAAGCAGATATCTAAAACGACGTGTGTAAATTTCAAATATTTAAGTATCAGAAATCTCGAGAAATTATCTCTCCACGATTGTACCGTTATTGATAGATAAGACGCTTCACAAAATGGATGACACCAATTATTTGAGTCTCACAATATATAAGAATGGTCTTTTGAAGAAGCCTACAATTTATTAAAATAAAATTTACTAAATGTAATCTCACGAAATCGCAAAAAATATTTACACGGAGAGAAATCGTGTAATCGTGAGACAACCTGGCATTTTGAAGAACTTTATGAGAGTTTTCTGAAATTTTAACATGCATTTTACTAGTAAAATTTAAAAAAAACTCTCATAACATTTCGCGAAATGCCACGTTGTTCCACGATTACACGATTTTCAGGAGAAATTTTAAGAAAAAGTTCTTTCCGTGTAGAATTAACTGTCACAATGGTTTTTTTGTGAGCGATTGAAGGAGATTTACCGCGTCGTCACTGACCAATTGTTGAATACATTATCAGTGATAACAGAAATCGACTGGCGGGAGTAATAATAGATGCTATAATTACACTTAAAGTGCAATTACGATCAGGTAAAGTTGATTCCGCGATTGGAACATTGTAGAGAGACGCGCTGCTGTCAGAGCAGTCCGATTGACGTCGATTCGGCGTCGGTCTATCACTTCCTCGTGGCCCCGGGAGAGCGATTCGACTTACCGGTTCAAATGCATCCGTAAACGCGACTCCAACCCCCGGGTGTAATCCGACTCTGAGGAAGCGACTTGCCCCGCAGGCGGCACAATGCGTCAGCGACCGAGGATGCCTCGCGACTGCCCCGGCACCATTTCAATTTCTGCCGTGGTATACGCATTCAGCATAGCTCGTCACGTGATGTTCGGCCAGTTAAAACGGCATCCCGTAAGTGCACACGCGGCCGGAGATTTTAGGCGCCGCGGGATTTTGCGGATCTGCCCCGCGCGCTGCCGCGAGGAAATCCAGCGAAAGCGCGAGAGCCGCGCGATCGATTTCTGCCGATCGATCTTGCGCGATTTGAATTTCCACTCCCGGCGACGGATCTTTTTCCGCGGCGTTTGGCTTCGTTGCTTAACTTAACACTGGAGATTTGCTAATAGATAGTAGATAATATCTAATCGCGATATTTATTACGATTTAGTAGAAAATCCGTAGCAAAAAATCTCTAACAATAAGTGCCAGTCTACAATAGATGATTTAAGCCCCAAGCCTTAAGAAATTGACCAATCACGGTCAAGTATGAGTAGAATACGCGATTAGGATTAGTCAATTTCTTAAGGCTTAGAGTTTACATCTCTATTGTAGATGAGCACTAATGCAAGAGTGCAATGCTCTCTCTCTAATAATATTTAGTGAAGGTAAAACAAAATAAGCTTCTACGTTACTACACTGAGAACAATGAGAAGAACATAATAACAAACGGACGTGTCCAATTAAATTGTATATCCGATGAAAAATACGATCGGTTTTTCAATAAAATTTCATTGGTAACTGCGTTTCATCGAATAAATTAAATAGCGCTTTCGATGGTTAATTTTCCCGATTAAATTATGGATACATCCGATGGAGTTTATCCGATGAAATGCAGCCACCGATAAAATTTCATTGAAAAACCAATCATACTTTTCCTCGGAGATACAAATTTAATCGGATACATCCGTTTGTTATTATGTAATTGGATTATCCGATTATATTTAATCGAACATTTTTCTCAATGATACTTTTTAACGTAGCGAACGGTAAAATTGTAATGAAAACACATGGAAGAAATTAATCGTTCGGGTACGCAGGCACGTCGGTGACGCGCATGGGACATGGAGATTTTATGCGACGAGTACGTACATTAAAGCGCAATAATAGCGACCGGGAGAGATGCTCTATATTAAGAGAAGCATGTTTCCCGTATCGATTGTTACGTGGTAGGTTGCAGCTGGTAGTTACAAGTCCTTAATCTTTCTCGACATTTACGAATGATTACAAGTGTGTTAAAAATGAAACTTTATGAGAGTATAAAAACCCTTACAAACTTTTTATAAGGGCATTAAACTCTTCAACTTTTAAACTTGTTCGTTTGTTTTCCGTGAAGTTTCTTTTTTCTTCATATCCGAATAAAGAGAAAGAGATTAAAGAGACGCTAGTCTTTGAAGAAATCACAGTCCTATTATTAAGTAAAATATGTTATGATAGACAAGTAGAGACGTCATGATAGATAATCGTTACTTTCTATTTTCTCTATTGTTGTTTTGCTCGCCCGGGATGATACTTGAAATGGTTTCATCGTTCGTGCAAATCGATAAGTGCCTGGTTTATACATGTATGTGCGCTTTATAATTCACATTTCCGCGGACGTCACATTTATCTTATGGTTTACGAGAGCTCGAGACTGTGTTACATAAGTGGTCCCGCGACGGGAAAACATGTCTCCGACAAGATATTTGCGTAATCCGCCGGTTAATGTTCGTAAAAGCCGCGAAACCCGTAGCGTGCGTCAAGAAAGAAGCGGCTGCTCCGATTAAAAAATATTTTAATAAAAAAAATATTACTTTACTCAAGAAAATTATAGAGTTCGAGGATTGTCAGCGCGAGAACGATAGATTAGACGAGGCAAAGCGGTAATTTTGTGAAGTACACGTTGGAAAGAAACACAATAAAATCGATGTCGAAATTTATCTAAAATTAAAACACTGTCATTCCTCACGATTTCCCTTTGATATTACATATATATATTTATATTTCTTAATTTCAACAGAGCAAAGACCATAAATTGTTTATAGTCTATGGAGTTTCATCGTCGTTAAAAAAATTATAGATAGAATTGATTTTCAAATCGCGCCGTTGAAAAGATTTAATTGGCGATCGAGTCGTAAGTACATTGTATCTCACTTAACAAGATAATTGAAGGTACACAACTATCGCGGGCAAACCGACGTTGTAACATCGACCGTAACTAAACCGTGTTACAAACTTTGGTCTATAAACTTCGCTCCGTTATCGAATCGTCAAAGTTATGTTTGTGAAGAAGGTCGCGGAGAGAAGGAAAATATTTGGCAACGTTTATTTCAATTATTTTGAGGGACGTCCGATTTCTTTTGTAAAATTTATTATTAATGTTTAGACGTTGCCTGCTCGTAGTCTGGCGTCTATAAAGATTTACGAACGTAACATTTCGATTTCTTGATATTTAAATTATTCATTTATCACCTAATAGGGTGTTTTATAAAATAGACAAAGAGGAAATGATTTTAGTGACCTCGATATGCTTTAAGACCTAATTGCTTAGTCATCTACAGTTCTCCAAGTTTCGAATTGTAAAAGTTGTCTGTACGCGGAAAGAATTTTCTTTTAAAATTTACCATGAAAATCATGTGGCATTTTGAAGAACTTTATCAGAGTTTTTTCAAATTTTTCCACACATTTTACCAGTGAGCTTTCGCAAAACTCCCATAAAGTTTTTCAAAATGCCACGTTGTCCCACAATTACATGATCTTCGGGGTAAATTTACAGAGAAAATTCTCTCCGTGTGTGGTTACTGTGCTCCGTGGAGTGTAATTCCTCGAAAGAGAGCAGATATCGCAAGTATACTTGCAATTTGGATCCTCGTTTTCCCAAGAAAAATCCCCGAGAAAAAGCGCTGAGCGAGATTATGTAATTCTGACGCACTGTCTCGCCGACGCATTTTCCCGCAAGGTTCTTGGTCTGAATCACTTTTCCCGCACACGTTTAACGAAATTTGATTATGAATATTATTGTATCGTGCCTTGGGGTATAATCGAATTGTCTAATAATTAAATTCAGCCGAGCGAAACTTTTAAACGCTCGTCCCTTATCTTCGGCTATCGAACGCGAGTCGGCACAGACTTACAATTTTCAGTGGTTCCGGCAAACAACAGATTCTTCGAATAGATCCACGCGATAGAAGCCGACGACAATAAGTTGCCCCATCGGCGGCGCAAACACTTTGATACAAAGCTTCTTTGTTACCGTAATTCCGGAGGCTCGTGCGGGAAGAAGAAATTGCGCGCAAACAATGCACAGAATTCGCTTGTAGGAGAGAGAAGAACGCGGCCTGGAACGGGGCAGAATATTTCGTTGTTATTACGTCACCAGACGCAGTCAATACCGCTAATCTAAACGCGAAGGCGCGCCGGCGAAAACCCGCGGACTCCGTGCAACTTACGTTCGAGCCAGCTGTCCGTCCGTCGCTCGCCAGGCACGAGGGGTGACACTCTACATCACAGCGCGCTACGGCGCGTAATTACTAAGTTGCGGCCGAGAGCCCCGAGGTACCGCCGGGCGAATTCTGGCTGCGTGCGGCGGGTGCGCGCCCCCTGGCAGCACCCCCGGCGTGGGGCTGCGCATTCGGGCCGAAGGCGACGGGGCCTGCTTGCGGGGCAGCGAGAAAATGCCGCGCGCGCGGCCGCGACAGCCACGGGCGCCTTTCACTGTCCGCGAGAATTAAGGACGGATTTCCCTTTTAGGTCGGGCTGGGGTAAACTACCCTGCCTCGCGCGATCCATACGACGGCAGCCTCCCCAGCGACGTCTGGCGGAGGGCGAGGGTGGACGGTCCGCAGACTTGCGCACGTCGAGGACCGTTCGGCTTGATCGCGGCGAACTCGTTGAAAGCGAAAGTTACGTGCCGACGAAATTGGAGTAACTCAATTGCAGCACCGGCTGCGAGATAACTCAACACGGGACGGCCGGCCAGGGCGAAAATAACTGAAATTAAAATGTGCAAGTAGCAGAGGCATCTACATTGTTTTGTGTCGCAACCATAGACATAATATATCTAGACCGAGCATTGAGCAATGGGGGGGTAGAAGTTCGCGTAGAAGAGGACAAGCTCTGTCTTGTGCTATTTCGTTCTCCTTCGTTCGCATGTAAACGAGAGAGAACGAAACAGCACAAAACAGAGCTTGTCCTCTTCTACGTGGCCCTCCACCCCCACTGGTCAAATAAAGGCAAACGCTCGGTCTAGATATATTACGTCTGTGGTTGTAACATTCACTAAGTTTGCTGCACAAAAGGCATATAGTTGTCGCCACTATTTATCATACACTGAGAAAAATGTCCGATTAAATATAATCGGATAATACAATTACATGACAACAAACGGATATATCCGATTAAATCGTATATCCGATGAGAAATGTGATCGCTTTTTCAATCAAGTTTCACCTGCATTTTATCGGATGCATTCGTAATTTAATCGGAAAACGTAATCGGAAAAATTCACCATCGGAAACGCTGTTTAATTGGTTTAACCGATGGAAATTTTTCTCAGTGTAAAATAACACAGATAATGACATTCGCGCAATTGTAGGGCCCTATTCTGTAAACGTTACGAATCATTACGCGCTTTGCTCAGCTTATCTATGGTGTATCGTACCTGCGCAAAGCGCACGGAAAGAAAATGCAGCTGCCGCAGCTAAAAACTGCTTGTGGTAAATAAATTTCAGTTGTGAGACGGGACAGCTAATATTTAGTTGCGACAGCAAACCGTTTGATGCGGTGTAGAAATTTATAGTTATGGCGGCAAAATGTGTTTAGCAAATCGTGATTAGCTACGGTAGCACAATTTTTTTGTGCAATGCACGTAATTATGTCGTTTACAGTATAGGCCTGTAACTTTTGCAATGCTTTTCTCACAAAAGGTGAACTTGCGATTGGATTACACAATATTCTACAATCATTTTGTATACGGGTATTACATTTATACACGATTATCTAAGGAGTCTTTTTCTCGTTTCCTCAAATTTCGTTTTGTTTTTCTACATTAATGCGACAATTATCCTTTCAGATGTTGTTTAATTCTTCTTATTATTTTTCTTGTATATATACATATATGCATAAACAAAATATGCGAACGGAGACAATGTTATGCAAGAGAAGGGAAACACAGATATAGTTTTATATATGTATAATACAAGAAAAATTTTCCGGGTTAAAATATGCGGAAAAGATTATTTAATTACAATATATAAAAAGTTATTTGAACGGAATAAATTGGATACATTGGCTAGTAACAAATGGATAGCAATAAATCTTTTGGACAGTAACAGTGGATGGTAAAAAGTTCTTTAAAAAACTACACCAAAACACCCCCCGATAAATCTTGAAAAATTTATTTTTATAATTAAAAAAGAACTGCTTATAATCCTTCTGAATTCGTATTCGTAACATTCGAGTAGATATTCATTACAAGGCCTTTATACAATGATTTCGTCGATTCTTCGGTTATTCGTAATTTTATCACATCTTTGCCAAGTCACGAATGTATGCTAAATAAAATAGCATGTGTGCTACGCCTAATATTTTATTACGTGCAATCATGCCATTAAAACGAAAACAATAAACAAGTATAAAACTTTTTCGTAAAACCAAAGGAAAGAAGCCGTCGATCATCTTCGTGGTGTACAATGCAAAAATCGTACGATATATTTCGTTATTTCTAGAAAAAGGAAACGTTTCTACCCGCTTACATTACAAGCGATGATTCGATGATCGATCTGTTAACGATAATCAATGTCGATCGTCTGAAAATCTATATAAAACATACAGTTAAAGGTAACGAAATGGCACTGATGACTGCACTCGTTCTTTTAGGCACCTGCTTTTACATACTATTGGAATCTCGACTTGTTCTAGCGTAACGATTCGTCGCATGATAACGATGTGCGATAACGACGTATATATTTTTGTATATCTTCTAGGACGTTAAAATATGAATGGAAATGCGGCCAGAGGTGTGAATTTTAATTAAATGACACGATTGTTACGACAATAGCTCAATTCAGAATTTCGCCGGCATCAACGAACGACGAAGAATGCTGAAGCAATGGGAGCGGCGGTGTGAAAATAAAATTCTTTTATTTGCTAATACGATAAAACCTTTTTACACATATTTATACATATCTATACATTTATATATATACATGTGTATATATATATCGCTGTACCGTAATTGACGCCGACGCTGACGCGAGCCAGGACTCGTCGCGCCGTTGTACAGTCCACATCTTCACTCGCAGTCTTGCATATCACGCGTAAAAAAAAAAGAAAACCAACAAACGCACCTAGGAACTTCATCTCGTCCCCGACGAATCGAAGCCGAAGTGTGATGCGAGCCGTAAGAAGTTAACGTTATTTCGGTCCCTCGGCCGGCGCCTCCGAATGCGCTTTGTATTTTTAGGCGCACTCACTTTTGGCAATGATCAACTTCAACTACGTATCACGCCGTCGTCGTTTCTCGCACGGAGAACGATTCCTGTTTACTTCCGCTCCCCGCCTGTCACTTCGTCACTCAGCTTTAACAGTTTTGTCGCGCACTTTCTCGGATACTTCATTGGAACTTCTTGATGATCTCGCGGAGACTCGTGTAAGTACCCACGACCAGGCCGAGGAGCCCGATTAGTATTAGGCACATGTTCTTCACCAGCATAATGTTCTTCTCGACCGGTCTTAGCACCTTCCAGAAGGCGCACAATTGTATGATCGCCGGGAAAGCCAGTCCCAGACCCGACAGACAAAACGCGCCGAACAGCGATATGAAGAGCTCCAACTCCGGGATCGAGATCGCCAAGCCAACTGAAACACATCGCGCGGATCGACAAATTAATTAAACAAGATCACCGAAGTAAATTTTCTTTCAAGAAATTAGTAAAGTTCATAAGGCTGTGGGTAAACACAATTTCGATTAAGGAATAATATTTGTTGTGTCGGAAATATCTCTCGTTTGAAATTTACTGCGAAAGATATCACCTCAGCCAGGGTGTGAACCTGGACCCTCCCTACGCTCTAACACTCTCCCTACACTCCCGCCTAGAGTGTAGGGAGGTTCAGGTGCAAACCCTGGCTGAGGTAATATTTTTCGCAATAAGTTTCTTTAATTAGAAAAAGAAACAATGGCTTGTGTAATCAAAAATCGAACAATAAAAAAGAGAGGGCTCAGAGCGAGTAATGTTAGAGAATTTTGTGTTCGATAAAAAAAATGTATACGTTTCGATCGCAAACTGGAGCGTCTTCAGTATGAGATAAAGTTGGAACGTCGGTATGCGAATAATACAAGAGTGAAATTGCATTGTCCGTGAAATAAGATATGAAGTTAGTTATCGGGACGAAAGTACATACAAAGAGTGTAAATCGCCAGTGAATTTTAAGAAAAGTTGGAAATGGCGCGTCGACCGGTACGGACGGCCCAAGCAAACTGAATTCTTTAATTAGAATCTGCCAGTGGAGTCGATTATTAATTTCCTACATCGGCTAATTATTCACTGGCGGCAATTCCAAGCCTTTATTCTTGTTGTTCAAAATAAGTGTCGATACAATTAGGAGCGCGACGCGACCCGAGCATGGATAAATGAAGTCAGAGATACCGATTTGTCATTGGCTGCTCGGAATTCTCGGTCCGCGTTCGATTTAGCGATAAGACCGTATTAAAATGTACTCACAGGTTATCAAAATAATGACAGTCCTGACGACATACTCCCATAACAGCTTGAAACGGTACTTGTCCAGGTACTGGCTGAGATATTCGTTCCAGACGATATCGATGGCGACGTAACATTGGATAGGATGCGTGAAGAAGATGGCGATAGCCAGGAGAATTTGCACTGCAATTCCCAGCTTCTCCTCGGGCAGGTTGAGCGTGATACTGCCTTTGACGTCCTCGCCGTAACGTATGTACCCGAAGAATCCCAGGCCGGCATACATCACGACTATGATGCCCATTGCGACGTTCAGGGCGCCGAATGGCTTCATGAAGAATTTAGGATTCTTCATCTCATTTTCCAATGGCATGATCTGCAAATGCGGAAAATAATCTGGTACAGTTGAACTTATATGTACGTACAGCCTCTTCGAATTTATCCTCAAGAACGACGTAGACGTTGCAAAACACCTGGACTAACTTAAATAAGAGTCTGCTTGAAGCTGCACGCGCGGAAATTGTGTGCACAGAAAACCACGATAAAGAGAATCGATGGTATTGTTTAGAAGCATATAAATAAACACGACCAATATTTTATCTCGACAGTTTCTTAATCGTCATAAAAGTATTGAGAAGTTTCTTGTATAATTTCTTGTATAATCGAAGTAATAATTTATAAATCAATATCGTGTATAACTTTTGTCAATTAAATCTGCTTTTATTAAAGACTCTGAATTCTAATTTTTACCCCCTTTCATATTTATTTATTACTCTATGTACCCAAGACTCTTTTGTGTGAAAAATAGTGATTGTATCTCGATCGATTACTCACTACGCCGACGGCTTCGAGAGCGAACAGTACGGTGCCGAAGAAGAGTGGAAAATTCGTGACTTCCCCGAATGCCTCGCGATTTTTGAACGACAGCGGTTCTCGAAAGATGTAATAGAGTATGATGCCAATCCCAGTGAACATGATAATGTTCGCTAGCGTCGAAAACGGCGCCAGGTATTTAAGATTCCTGATGTAATTAGCTAAGATCAGGGGTAACAGGAGAATTGCCATGTATACCTCCAACTCCATTGTGACAAACGTGCCCAGTCCCTAAAAGACAAGAGAAAGAATAACGTGTAATGTGATTATTTAGTAATCCACACGGGTGCAAAAGTCACGTTACTTAACACTACCAGTAGCTATTCCATTTTTCTTGAGGGAGGGGGTGCGGACAAATCTTATCCAAATCATAATAGAAGAATTTTACGAGGGGTTTCAAGACGTTTAATTACAAGGATCTTATTAAGATACTTAACGCCAAGGAAAGAATTTGTGAGTTAACATTTAAATACGTCATTTAATGAAAGGACTGTGTCTGTGCGTTATAAAAATATACAGGGTGAGTCTTTCCATATCCAACAAAATTCTTGAGAAAGTAGAACGGATCGAGATAAACGGAAAAGTCCTGTACCATTTTGCAATTTTCGTAATAGTTAACGAGTAATTAATTATTAAAAATCGTTGTCTTAGGCCGGCCTACCGCCCAATTCGAGCGCGTGGCAAGATGTGACCGCCCGGCGATCGATATTGCTATGCGCACATCTCGCCACGCGCTCGAATTGGGCGATAGGCCGGCCTAAGACAAC